AGAGAGAAAGAACAAGTGGGGGAGAAACAGAGAGAGGGGGAGAGAGAGAGAGAGAGAGAGAGAGAGAGAGAGAGAGAGAGAATCCCAAGCAGGCTCCACACTGTGAGCGCAGAACCCAACGCAGGGCTTGAACTCATAAACAACTAGATCATGACCTGAGTCGAAATCAAGAGTCAGACGCTTAACCAACTGAGCCATGTAGACACCCCCCAAAACAAGCTCTTAGGACTCAAAGTGAGACAAGGAGGAAGATAATTACCATACTTGACAGAAAAAGGATCAATGAGTCTGGATTTGGAAAGGAAGAGACAATGTGAGAAAAAAATTTTTAAAGTAAGCTCTACACCCAACATGGGGGCTTAAACTCCTGACCCCGAGATCAAGAGTTACATGCTCTATGGACTAAGCCAGCCAGGAGCTCCAACGATGTGAAATGTTATTTTATTTTATTTTTTTAAATGTTTTATTTATTTCTGAGAGAGAGAGACAGTGTGAGCAGCAGAGGGTCAGAGAGAGAGGGAGACACAGAATCTGAAACAGGTTCCAGGCTCTGAGCTGTCAGCACAGAGCTCGACATGGGGCTCAAACCCACGAACCATGAGATTATGACCTGAGCCGAAGTCAGACGCTCAACTGACTGAGCCACCCAGGCTCCCCCATCAATGTGAAATTTTAATTTCTTCTCTCAACTGGGCACTACAGACAGATTTGGGAAAGCTGACTCTTGTAAGACTTCTCATTCTTCACTGGTTTCTGCCAGTGCTCCCAGGATCTCCTCTACAGCCTCTGAGATCTACCAGAATTTGCTGAGATTATCCATTAATTTTAGTTTTTGTTTCCCTTGGCTGTTTAAGGCAACGTCACAGTTTACCAGAAAAATGCCTCAGAGTCTCAAATCCAGGAGGGGTCTACATGGGAGCTCTTCTTTCGGGGAGACAGAAAGGCGTTCAATATTGATGTTGAAGAATTTGCATAGAGTCCTTGAGGACAGCCTCTTTCCCAGTGTCCCACGTTATTACAAATTGAGTCTTCAATCCCAGGGTTGGAGTTTTGATGATGGATCCCTAGAAGGATATAATGGGGAGGCCTAGGTGTTGTTCTAGATAACTTTTGTGTTTTTAATTTTTGCCATTTTTGTAGAAACTTACAGCTTCTATGACCATAGCTTTTGGACATAAGTTAGGGAGATATGCTGAAGGTGGTGACCTTCACTCTTTTGAGCTTATGTGTCCTGTTCTATTTTAGCTAAGGCTTTGGGTATCTGGGAGCTAAATTAATACCTAATGGGAATATGTCATTGTGTTGGAGACTGTATAGTGTTTTTGTTTTAAAAAAATTTTTTTAATGTTTTATTTATTACTGAGAAAGAGATACAGCGTGAGCAGGGGAGGGTTAGAGAGAGAGGGAGACACAGAATCTGAAACAGGCTCCAGGCTCTGAGCTGTCAGCACAAAGCCCGATGCAGGGCTCGAACCCACAAACTGTGAGATCATGACCTGAGCCGAAGTCCGACGCTTAACCGACTGAGCCCCCCAGGCGTCCTGACTGTGTAGTGTTTTAGAGTGTGTCTCATTGCTTTGCACATTTTCCTACAGTTAGCAGGCACCTAGTGTCAATCTAGCCCATTCCATAACCAATTTATCCTAACATGAGAGTGTCAAAGGCTCTAATAGCTTTCAAGTGCTCCACCCATGCCCACCCATTGCAACTCTTTGACTTCTAAAATTCCATGGCGCCTGGGTGGCTTAGTCAGTTAAGCATCTGACTTTCGCTTAGGTCATGATCCTGCGGTTCGTGGGTTCGAGCCCCGCGTCGGGCTCTGTGCTGACTGCCAGCTCAGAGCCTGGAGCCTGTTTCAGTCTGTGACTCCCTCTCTCTCTGACCCTCCCCTGCTCACGCTGTCTCTCTCTCTCTCCTAGAGGAAAAAAAAAAACATTAAAATTCCCATTCATAATAGCCTTTATCTATACAAAACAAGACAAATAAGCATGTGCACCTTAACTCACCAGACACAACCAAGAGATATTACTGTGGCCTGGCCAAGAGAAGGCCTTCTGCACACCATTGACAATTGTCAACATGGACCCTGAGAAGGAAAAAGATTGAACCAGCAGGCTCCAAAGAATAGGGACTACAGACAGATTCCGTACAAATGGGGAACTGAAGCCTAAACCCACCAGCAGCTCCCAACATGGAGTCTGGGGACAAAACCAAGGGCTGAGGTATTTCACTCAGATGGGGGATCTGTAGACTGAGCCAAGGCCTAGTGGTCTGCAAACCATGTGGAACCCTCTGACCATCTGCTAGCTCAAGCTGACCTGCCCTGGACTGGAAAGCTAATTAGACTGGAAGCTTGATACAAAGAGAGTGGAGCTAAAAACTAAGAGGAACTTACTTGTGGCCTGCAGAGGTGGTGAAAAAGACAGAGCTCAGAGGGCTCACTGGTGCCACACCTGTGTTTCTCACTGTCCCTGAACTGGCAGAAGCCTCCTTCCATCCCACTAATGCCACCAAATCTATTCGAAAACAAAATTCAACTGAGTAAAAGATCTAATTGACTTTTATTTAATGAATTGGACATGAATTGGGCAACTTCCCATCTTAGCAGAAAGAAAGGAGCTCTGAGAAGCTGTACACAAAATGGAAGACTTTCCCTGACGTATGATGATTCGATGTGGGAGTTTTTTACTTTACAATGGCATGAAAACTATATTCATTCTGTAAGAACCACACTTTGGGTTTTTAATTTGGATCTCTTCCCGAGTGAGCAATATATGAAAGGATACTCTCCTGTGACTCAGCAGCGCTGGCAAGCCTCAGCCCCCAATGAGCCATGTGATTATGAGGATGATCACTAATACACTGATAGCCATTCTGCACCCATACAACCATTCTGTTTTTCACTTTCAGCACAGGATCCAATAAATTAGATCAGAGGGACGCCTGGGTAGCCTAGTCAGTTAAGTATAGGACTTCAGTTCAGAACATGATCTCACAGCACATGAGTTTGAGCCCAGCATTGGGCTCTGTGCTGACATCTCAGAGCCTGGAGCTTGCTTCAGATTCTGTGTCTGCCTCTCTCTCTCTCAAAAATAAATAAATATTGAAAAAAATTTTTAAAAGAAAATACATTAGACATTCAATACTTTATTATGAAGTAAGCCTTATGTTAGATGATTTTGCCCAACTGTATGCTAATATAAGTGTTTGGAGCACATTTAAGGTAGGCTAGGCTGACCCATGATGTTTATTAGTTTAGGTGTATTAAATGAATTTTTAAAATTATGATGTTTTTCAATATGATAGGTTTATCTGGATGTAACCCTATCTCAGTTGAGGGAGATCTGTATAGGCAGAAGGAGGAAGGGCAAGGACATTATTACAGCAGAGTGGATTGTTGCAAACAAGGTCACCATCCTTTGGGGGAAGGAGGAGGTCTAACAGGCAGATTCCGTCCCTGGTAATTCCAGATTGACCAGTTAAAGGTCACATTCCCAGGAAAGGCTGAAACTGCAATTATGATGGGTATCAAGTCATTGTTTGCTGATGTGGGGTGTAGGATAAGTGACTCCTTTTTGAGACTGTTGTTTCTTTAGCAGGGTAGCAGGAAGGGGACAGTAAAGTTGTTCTATGGGTATAAGTCTGGCCCCTTCTCCATTGATGAGAGTTTCTTATAATTTATTGCCATTTTTCTCTTCCTGGCACAGACAAGGAGAGACCCTACAAATGGAGATTTCCCTTATAAATGTCAGTTTCTCTTACAAGAGAGTAAATTCTACTGTTTTTAGGGCTTCTCCGGTGTCTGCTTTTTCTCAAAAATAATCAGCTCAAAATAATCCTTATGCCAAAGAAGCATATTTTGGGTTGGCATACTCTGCTGCCTTTTACTGGCATTTTCATTTTTGTATATCCAAGAACTTGTTACTCCAAGTGGTAGGGAAAGCCAGTATGGGGTCCCTGAGTTGGGTTCCTTGAGAAAGCAGGGTCTGAAATAAAAACCCATGTGCAGGTAGTTTATTTGGGATGATCGCAGGGAAGAGGAGAGAGCTAGAGATCAAGACAGGGAAGAAGGAAAACGCAAGGTGGAAGGTTACCCCTTACAGCAGAAGTAAGCAGAACTTCATCTAAACTCCATTTCCTGATAATCACAAAGCAAGCTTCTCAGAATTCTCATCCTGATGAAGTAGAACTGGGACTGTTTAATCCTTTGCCTCAGGCTTTGTAGTATCTGCAAAAGGTGGAGGGATCCCCAGGCGGGAAGCAGAGAGCCTCTAGGCCCAGGTGTGCCCAGCAGGTGGCTACTGCGTGATGAATCGGGAAGCCCACCTGGGGCCACCCCAGGGGCAGCTGAACTCAGAAGTGGCTAAGAGGTGAGGATACATCTGCTACAGAGAGTCTTAGGCAAAGGAACATGGAGGCTCAGTTGTTTCTACTAAGATCATTCTGGCTGCAACGTAGAGACTAGCTTTGAGGACAAGGGTGGAAATGGAGACCAACCAAAGAAGTTACTGGGGTGGTCCTGGTGAGGAGTGATGATGTCCTTAAAAGCGGACTTCCCCACGCAGCCTGTTGACAAGCTTTCTCCGGGAAGGTAGAACAAAATGTTGGCAGTGTCTTAGAAGGAAAAAGGCAAGGTAGAATTATTGAGAATTTGAAGTTTGGTTTAGGGCAGGTTTTTAAGTGTGGAGGCTTGATTAGAATCAGGGAGAAATCATGGTATAACAATTTAGGATTGTTGAAACTAGCAAGAGGAGAATTTTGTTTTTAAAGATTTTATTTTAGGGCCACCTGGGTGGCTTATAGTCGGTTAAGATTCAGTCATGATCTCATAGTGTGTGCGTTCATGCCCTGCAGTCGGCACAGAGCCTGCTTCAGATCTTCTGTCCCCTTTTCTCTCTGCCCCTCCCCCACTGGTTCTCTCCCTCAAAATAAATAAATACACTTAAAAAAATAAAAGATTTTACTTTTATGTAATCTCTACATCCAACATGGGGCTCGAACTTACAATCCTGAGATCAAGAGTTGCACGCTTTACTGATTGAGCCAGCCAGGCATCCCCGCAGGGAGAATTTCAAGGCAAGGGGTTCAAAAGAATTTTGAGGCATAAAATGTCTGTTGTTACTTTATATTGTTGGATGGATCTTTCCATTTGACGGATGGATTTGATGGATCTTTCTAGAAGTTCCTGTAAGGAACAGTCAAGCTACTTGCCTGGATGAGTGTCTCTTCAAAGAGTAAAGTCACATTCATGTGGACATCTCTGGGAGTCACGTCCTTAGGACATTTCTGTGTGAGGGTAAATGCTTTTCCTTCTCTGTGCCTTGTTCCAAAGAGGTAGCCCTGAGGATGGAGAAAAGTGAATGGATTCTGAACATATTTAAGAGGCAGGAAAAACAGGGCTTCCTGTTGTACCAGATGTGTGAGACACACAGAAGAAATCAACAACACCTAGAAATCTCACTAAGACAAGTTTGAGCTAGAGGCATAAATTTGGATATCATTAGGGCACAATTATTATTTAAAGCTAATGGAATGCATAAAGTTGCCTACTGAGAGCTTCATTCTCCCAGTGTCTATATCTCATTAGAAAGATAGGAGAAGAGAGTCCAACAGCTAAATCCAGGGTGTTTCTAATATTCAGAGGTCAGGTAGTGTGTCAAGTCAGAATGTATTTAATGGTAAACAGGAAACACTGGTCGGGTGTCTAAAACAGACGGGGTGTGTTCTCATGTAACATGGAGTCTGGAGCTGAGCAACCCAAGTTCTTCTGTCTTCCCCTTCTGCTACCTTTACATGTAGGTCTGTATACTTGAGCTTGGCCTCAAGGTCACAAGACAGTAGTTGCACATTTAGCCATACAACCACAATTCAGGTAGAAAGGAGGAGTGGCGGGGGGCACATTAGCCCCTTCTCCTCTGGAAATGAAGGCTCTCCCAGAAGCCTTTACTCAGCTGACTTCTTTGCTGGCCAGAACTATAACACATATCCACCTCTAACACCCTGTGAGTCCAGAAAGTAGTTTTAGCTGGGGACTTGGCTGCCCTGAGTGACAGTGGGGGGGTTATTCGTAAGGAAGAAGGAAGGAATGGCTGCTGCGTAAGCAGTTGGTAGTATGTGCCACCAGCAGATAAGAAGGAACCTTGAAGGACACCGAGGAGTGACAAAGGACAAAGGAGGAAAACAGGGAGTGTGTGGTGTTCCAAAAACCAAACGAAGAGTCTTTCAAGAAGAAGGGAAGGATCAACTGGGTCAAATAGTCCTTGAAAACTGACAAAGATGGGGGGGGGAGGTCTGGTGGATCTGGTGACATGGAGATCATTGGGACAATGACAAGAGCAGGTTCTGTGACAAGATGGGCATGGAAGTCTGGGGGGAAGTAGGCTAAGGAGAGAATGGGATGTGAGGAAATGGGCACGAATTTTGGAAGTTTGGCCTTGAAAGGGGTAGTTGGGGGAGGAGAGAAAGGAGGAAAAAGGGAAGAATATTCTAGGATGGAAAATACTGTCCTTTTACTGACTTATTGTCATTTCACTTGATTGTTTTGAGGATACAACATAGATTAGATAGCTTTATTTATTTATTTGTTTTTTAAATGTTTTTTAAAAATTTATTTCTGAGAGAGAAAGGGAGAGGGAGAGCGTGAGCAGGGGAAAGTCAGAGAGAGGGAGATACAGAATCTGAAGCAGGCTCCAGGCTCTGAGCCAGCTGTCAGCACAGAGCCTGACGTGGTGCTCGAACCCACAAACTGTGCGATCATGACCTGAGCCTCAGTTGGACGCTTAACCGACTGAGCCATGCAGGCGCCCCTAGATAGCTTTAATATTAATCTTAAAACATTATGGTTCAGGGTATTATAAGTCTGCTTCTTCCCAGATCCGTTATAACATGGTGCACAGGCCAGGCTTGGAGTCAGGAGTCTGATTTGAACTCCTAATTCTGCCTCGGTGTGTGATCTTAAGCCAGTTGCTTAACCTCTCTGAATCTGTTTGCTCATATGTAAAACCGGACAATCACGGCCACCTTGAAAGCTGTGAAATGGCTGCATATACAGTGCCTGTCATGGTGCCTGGCACATAAGTAAATCATCAAGAAGTGATAATGACATTCCTATGGCAGACCCAGATACAGTGTTTATACATCCAGGGTCCAGAAGAAGTCCCCAAGAGACAGACTATATAACAAATGCTTAATCACGTTCAGAATTTCCTCTGAGCCAAAGCACAGGAAGACAACCAAGCACGGTATAGCCGTGCCGCGGAGTCCATACAATCCAGGTCATTCCTTCTTGTTTCCCTATTTGTAACGCAGCAGAAAATCAGGTACCTGCTTGTCTCTCTGAGGCTCAAAGTATAGCCAGAGGGCTGAGCAGCCGCTTAGCATCTGCCTCCTCCTTGAAATTCAGGGTCAGCAGGAGGACAGACCCAACGGAACACTCACGAGGGGAGACGGATCTTTGCAAGGCAGATGGAAGAACAAATACGAAGCAAGAAAATGTGTGGATGAAACGGGATGGATCATGAGAACTCTGGTATTAAGGGCAAGCTAACTTTGTATTATTATGGCTTTGTAATAACAGTTATGGGTTTTACCTTTATTAGGCTTAGTTCTTTGTCTGAAACTGGCTGCGGGGAAAGGGCTGGATCAGGGCAGGAGATTCGGAAGGAGTTTGTGGAGCGAAATGAAGGACTCTAATTTCTCTGTCCTGCACACGACACTGAATGATTCCTCCTGGCTCTGATGGCTCGGGTAGAATTCCCGAGCATCGGTGGGGCACCTGGGTGGCTCAGTCGGTTAAGCGTCCGACTTCGGCTCAGGTCATGATCTTGCGGTTCGTGGGTTCGAGCTCCACATCGGGTTCTGTGCTGGCAGCTCAGAGCCTGGAGCCTGTTTCAGATTCTGTCTCCCTCTCTCTCTGTCCCTCCCCAGCTCATGTTCTGTCTCTCTGTCTCAAAAATAAACTATTAAAAAAAATAAAATAAAATAAAAAAAGAATTCCCGAGCATCGGTGCAGATACCACTGGACCACGGGGCTCTGGGAAGGGATCGGGGTCCGCCGTGCTGCTTTACCCTGTGCTGGGCACAGCGACAGAAACATCCGAACACTGAGTGCCAGTGGCGGCCCCCACCCCTTCAGTTCCTGCTTACCTCGGGCACGTTTCCTAACCGTCCAGGGCCTTGGGGACTTGACCAGCAATGGAAGTAATGAAACCTACATCACAGTTCCGTTATGAAGACTAGACTAAATCACAGTTACAAGGTCTGGTTCAGTGCCCAGCACATGGCTGGTACTCAGACCGTTTCTTCCCTTCCGCGCCCTTTCCCGGGCGAATGCCGTCTGTCCCCCTTTCTGACATGTATGTGCCCCACGCGTACAGACCTAGAGATGGGACACTATTGTGTGTATCACTCGGGTTCTCTGAGGAGCGGAAGCTAGGACAGTGGCTCACAGGGAACATGCGGGAAGAAAACAGGAGGGTATTAGCACGAGGCAGCCTCTGTAGGTAGAGCTTGCGACTTGATCTCAGGGTGGTGTGCAAACCCCATGTTGGGTGTGGAGCCTATTTGGGAGGGAGGGAGGGAGGGAAGGACAGCAGTGAGAGTAGCAGAGGGAGCCTTGAGGATGAAGGTGTGACAAAGTCTCTGTCAACCCAAGGGAGCCCAGGGGCAAAGAATGCCTCCAGGCCACCTGTCAGAGACCACACGGGCGGACCCCAGCTGAGGTGGACCCTAGAAGAGCCAGCCAGGGCCACCAGCCATCAGCCAGTCCTCTCTCAAACGCACGTCTCTGGTCTGTCATGCCTCCGAAAACAAAATTTATTTGTGACACACTCTAGAACATTCTTTTTAACAAACTCTAGGCAAACAAAGATGCTGGAGGATTTCCTTGTGCTCCTAGTGCCAGCAACTGACGAAGGGAAGACAGAGGGAGAAGGGGAGAAGGAGGAAGGAGCGGAAGGAGGGATGGCAAGAAGGAAATGAGAAGGTGTGGAGAGGCCCAGGGGCAACTGCCCTTCTCTGACCAGGGGTGTGGCCTGAGCTGGGAATGGCAAAGTCACAGGGCCTCCACTGCAAAAAAAAAAAAAAAAAAAAGTTGTCCTACGGAGAAGGAAGGAAAGAGCATCTGGCCAAGACACGGTGCGAGAACAGCAGCCTAGTCTTCACTGTCTGGTCTTATTTTAGCCCTCAGTAAAGAAACCATTTTATTAATAGCAATAGCAATACTAGCCTATGTTTACCCAGTACTAACTATACACCGTGCACTGTGCTGAGCATTGCACGTTCATGGTCTCAAGCCTCACAGCACCCAGGGCCTGTTGGTAATGTTATCGGACCCGTCTTCTGGGTGAGGAAACTAAGGTTTTCTAGTTCTTAGTTTCACCAAAGGAAAACGGTTTGCCCAAGACCGTTGCCGTCAAGCAGGGACACAGCCTTTATTTGAACCCAGGTCTTCTGGTTCCGCAAAGCCTGCCCTCCCAGCATGTAACCTCTTACCCACCAGCCAGGTTGCCCTTGATTCATAATTAGGCACAGCTTGTCCTGAGCGTCAGCGGGACTCATGAACCCTCAGAGCCCACGCTCAGCTTCTGTTCTCTTCCAGTGGAAAGAACACGGCCTCGAAGCTGAGAGCCCTGGGTACGACCCTCAATTCTGCAGTCAGGTGGGGGTACTTCTGAGCAGGACTCCATAAATCCCATTGTTCTTGTTTTTTCCCCACGCCTTTGAATTCAGGGGATGCACGAGATAATCGCTAAGATTCTTCCAGCTACGTAGTCCTGGGAGTTATTCGTTAGCAAGGGTGAATAATCCCCAAATAATTCCAGGCTAAATCAGGACGAGGCGTATAGCCCAAGGCACTTGGGCATGTCTTGTTTTCTAAGCAGGAAAAAAAAAAGGCAAATAACATCACTGCAGAATATTAAATCAATTCGGATTGTTAATGGAGAGTCTGAAGGGGATGAGTTTATTTTCTCATGATTTTAAGGCCTTTCTCAGGCAAGAGCCTGATCCGGCTATCTCGTCTGCTCCAGCCAGACGGCTCTCCCTCAGGAGAACACACATTTCCTCCCCTTTATACATGGAAAGACCTCACATGCCCAAACCTGAAATCTTTCCAGTTTAGATGTGCGTTGGGTCTACAGAGGCTTTTATTCCTTCTTTCATGAAATGAATCATGATTAATAATAGCCAGAGGGTGAGGAATTACAGTCATGCCTTATTACTGAAGATGCGTCTTTCCCCCTGCCTTGCTGATGATGACAGCAATGACGAAGCATTTCATCAACTGGAAAAGAGCCTCAGACTCAGAATGTCACCCGCACGTCCCCAGAGAAAGGCTGCTGTGAGGTGGTTGGAAGAGCAAAGGAAACACGGCCCAGTTCGTCAACGGCCTCATGATTCAGCTCTTGGCCCCCAAAAAACATCCCCCCCTTCTTTTTTTTCCTTACGAGGGAATCCAAACGTTAGTACGGGTCTAGAAAAATGAATTTAAATTTCCTTTTGAAGAGACAAAAATCAGCAGAATGAATAAAAGAACTCATTTTTGGTACGTTATTTCCCCTCCTGGGAGTTTACCGCATCAAATATTCAATAAACGCCATTTGCAAAGAGAGGTAGATAACAGAAGGGAGGCCTAGGGGTTACTAGCTTTTCACTCTGGCTTAAGTTCTGGAACTGTCTTGATTACTTCTTAGGTGATCAGCCAGTCTCAAATTTAAACACATGGGGGGAACAGTCCTCACTCACAGGGGCACAGGAAGAGAAATGTTATGAAAGAATAAAAGGATGGAGTCAGCGTTACTCACATAGAATCCCTCCAGCCCCATCTCCTTTTGGTTTGAGCACTAATGTTTTCGTCTCCACAAGTGCAAATGAGGCTTTTTCATTCAACGGAGGCAGGTTTAGCCTGACCCCTTTGCTAACTGTAAGCAGTGAATTGTTAAATCTAATAAGCATATGCACATTTGTTCTAAGAACAAATAGCTTTGGGGTACGGTGCAGGATGAACTGCAATGAAAATAAAATATTAAGTACTTAACATTTTACCATAAAAAGTTGTCTAATGTCAAATTGTGTGGGATTTGATGTCTTATAATTTGATCCCGCTTCAGTTATTTCCTGCTGTTGAATTTAGCAACCCCGTCACCCTCCTTTGCCTACCTTTCCTCAAAGTGTCCTCTCGGTGTCTGAACACACCTCCCCCCAGAGCAAAGGAAGTCAGTTTTAGGTTTAAGAAACCACCCCTCCCTCTCTTTAACTACAACATTTTCAAATGGTAAGTGTTTTATCTGCATTTGAAGGAAAAACTTAAAAGAATTGGTACCTGGAAGGGGAAGTTCTTAAAATCCCCCCCCTCCCCAATATCCTGACAACACAAACAAAGGAAGGGGAAGTCTCCAAGATTAGCAAAGGTAACAATAAGCCAAACGCAGTAAACATCAGTTTGCCGTGTGTACAACTATCAATCACTGTGTTGTGCGCGTGAAACTAATATAATATTGTAGGTCAATTACGCTTCAATAAAAAGAAAATGGAAGAAGGTAGCAAATCTAGGACAGAAGAAATAAACCTTTGTTACACACACACACACAAATACAATAAGCAAAAAAATCCTCCAGGATGTTTGTTTCATGAAAATCAGCGCATTGTCCAAAAGGGAAAATATCCCAAATCCCCATTTTCCCCCTTCTTCCTCCTTTGCCTCTTTCGGTAGGTTCTCTCCTGCTCACAGGTAATGCCTGGGACTTCTTTCAGGAAAAACAATGGTTATCTAAATTCGAAAAGATTCCTTTTCATCCTAAACCTTCCCACAGTCAAACGAGTCACCTCCCTCGCTGCCCCGCCCTTGAGCTCTAATTTCGGTCCTGTCGTGTTTTTAATTCCCCAGAGAATGGCTTCCAAAAGACTGCCGTGAATTGTCCTTCTCAGAAATGTTCTACCGTGGGTGAGGTCCCCTCTCCTCCACGACTCAGGTGAAAGGCGGGGCACCCAATTCTGGAAACCGCACCCCAAGCCAGTGTACTTTGGGGACTCACGGACAGGGATGCCAACTGGCAATAGAGGTTCTCTGCCTCACCTCTCTGTCCAGCTCCCCTCCAGATGGAGGTCAGGGGAGCGCCTTGGTTGGAACCACAGTCTCCATTTAACCAAAGAGCTCAGATTCGAGCCTTGGATCGTTTCTTTTCCTCATGGATTGACTGATGGACAGAGTTTTGTTCTGTTTTAAATCAGCGCAGGTACCTACAGCGTGATACTTCCCCTGCGCCCAGCTTTCCAGCGGGTCCGCCTGAGAGACAGGACTCTCCGCTTGTGGAACTGCTGGTCCGGGAGAGACACCAACTGTAGTTCAATAAGATCCGGTTGCAAGAAGGAAAGAAACAGAATAATGTGTGAGAATTGGGACAGAGGTCAGAGAAGGTCTTACCGCGGAAGTGGCACTTGGACTAAGACCTGCAGAAGCTCTCAGGTGGGGGAGATCCAAAGAGCCGGGCCCAGGAGGGGCAAGTGCAAATACGGGAGCCTGGCCCACTACAGGCAGAGAGGACATCCAGGTGACTGGAGCTGCTCTTGGAGAGAAGAGGTACAAGGAGGTAAAGCCGTAGCTTAAATGTGTTAAGGAGCAAGAATTCAACTGAGTGAACTTTAAAGATCTTATTGGCTTTATTCAGCAGTTCATGAATCCGGTCACAGTCAATCTAGCAGATAGGAAGGAGCTCCCAGGACTCCTCAGTTGGTTTAACGTGCGACATTTGATTGCGAGGTTGTGAGTTCGAGCCCCGTGTCGGGTATAGGAACCACTTCAAAGTAAAATCTTTTCTTTTAAAGGAAGGAGCTCCAAATTGTTGTACAATTAGAGAGGGTTTAATGGACCAAACTGAGGGGTGCCTGGGTGGCTCTGTCGGTTAAGCATCCAACTTGGGCTCAGGTCATGATCTCGGGTTTGCGGGTTTGAACCCAGCCTCAGGCATGCTAACATCTCAGAGCCTGGAGCCTGCTTTGGATTCTGTGTCTCCCTCTCTCTGTCCCTCCCTGGGCTAATGCTCCGTCTGTCTCTCTCTCTCAAAAATAAACATAAAAAAATTAATCTTCATAGGCCAAAATGAGCAGAAACAAGGAATTCTGCTAGGGAGTTGCTGATTGGTTAAAGCAGGGTTATTTTCTTTGCAGAGAGCAAAGGGAAGTCTAGGAGCCAGGATCAGACAAGCACGATTGATTGGCATGGGCCCTCCGCTTCTGGGAGCCAAGCAGAGAAACAGGTAAATTTTGGTTTGCTGATGTCGAGCTTAGTATGAGCCACTCCATCTTGAGCCCGATCTGGTTACATTAACAAATGCTCTGGGAAGTCCTGGGAAAACTTAAAGCGTATTTATTTTGAGCAAGAGAGAGAAAAAGCATGAGTGGGGAGGGGCAGAGAGAGAATCCCAAGCAGGCTCTGCGTTGACGGTGTGGAGCCTGACTCGGGGCTCAAACCCACAAACCGTGAGATCATGACGTGAGCTGATGAAAGACGCTTAAGTGACTGAGCCACCCAGGTGCCCCTTGACCTACGTGTTTAAAAGACCACTTTGACCTTCAGTCAAAGACTGGAATAAAGGGAAGGGTACCAGCAGGGAACGCAGTAACCGAGGCCAAAGCAGCCGGTAGCTTCCGCTGGGATAGTAGCGATCGGCATGAACAGAAGCGCATAAACTCACAGTCTATTCTGGGGGTTCAGACAACAGGACCTGATGATGGAATGACGGCTGTTGGGGGACTGAGAGAAAAGAGGAATCAAATACGACTCCTGGGTTAAAGTCTTACGCGCCTGGCTGGAAGGTGGTGACATGGACTGAAATGGAGGTTAAGGGATGAAAAGTGTTTGCAGCGGGAACAGTTCCCTTGTTTGTAAAATGGGGAAAACAGTACTTCATGAGCTGATGATGACAGTTCATTAAAAAGCCAGGCCCACAGTATGTGTGCGATGGTCGTTGCTGTTCTAGGCCAAGCGTTGTGCCACGAGCTGGTTTTCAGAGGTGGAAACTTACTCTGGAAGCTTAGAGTTAAATAAAAGAGGCCAAGTTGTGGGGGGAATGGAGCCATGAGGACAGTCGAGTTACTCGATAGATGGTTTATGAGCAGAGGGTACAGAGTGTAAATCCCAATACGTAAGAAAAATCCACATAACAGCGGGACTCCAAGACCAAGCTGAGCACTTTCTACATTTACAGAAGACAAGCTGATCGCGGCCTTGTGTGCGGCAGTGCTGAACACAGGCCCAGGCTGCGTTTACCATTGGGCTCTCGGCTGAAAGGAAACCCTGGTCTGTGGCATCTGCCAATTTCCATGGTGTCAATGCTCCCGTCATGGCCAATTTCAAACTATCAACGTGATGCCGATCGGCTCACAGAATTCCTGAACATATAGTAATCGGCCCATAAAACAGTATGAACTGGTTCTAGCTCACCACAGAATCTAACATGTACTCAGTAAAGACAGAGCAATGACGAGGTTTTAGTCAAAGGCAAACAATTCATGCGTTTGGAAGAGAAGAGAATATTATGATGACGTGTTAGGAAGATGAATCTAGACTAAGTGTTTTCATGAGAAAAAACATAACGATTGGGGCTAAGAAGTTCCTTTATTCATTCATATTCAACAAATACTTACTGTCTACCTACTGTATGTAGGAGAATGTGTTAAGTACTAGGGATATCTTTATCTGGCCATCTGGTAAACAGACAAGACTGTAAAGCTTACATAAAGCTGACAATTTAGCTGGCATCCACTGTAGGAAATCAGACTGAGTTGAGAATGTTTTAGAGTACTGATGGGAGAAATTAAGAATAAGTGACAAGAGGGGTGTCTGGGTGGCTCAGTTGGTTAAGTGTCCAACTCAGATTCAGGTTGTGATCTCATGGTTTGTGGGTTTGAGCCCCCCATCAGGCTCTGTGCTGACAGCTTGGAGCCTGGAGCCTGCTTTCAATTCTGCGTCTCCCTCTCTCTCTGCCCCTCCTCAGCTCACGCTCAGTTTCTGTCTGTCTGTCTCTCTCAAAAATAAATAAATATTAAAAAAAAAAAAAAAAAAGACAAACCAGAGGCTCCTGGTTGGCTCAGGGGCTCAGTCTGGGAAGCGTGTGACTCTTGATCTTGGGGTCTTGAGTTCGGACCCCATGTTGGTTGTGGAGATTACTTTAAAAAAACAAATAAAATGCAAACAAAAAAAAAAAAAGCGAAGAGTATTAATTTGTTAGGCAGGATTTGTGGCTGAAGGTATGCTGTGGAAATAGAAGAAACAATGCGAAGATCTAACCAAGGCTCCTGGTATGGAAGATGTTGCCCATTAACTGAGAGGTTACAAAGAGAAGCCTGTATGGGATAGATGCTCAACAGAAACTTGCTGAATGTGGAATAATATTTATAACAGGGTGTTCATAAAGTATTCTAATATATTTAATTCATGGGGAGGAATTACATGTCATGCGTTGTATAAAAACCTAGCTTTTATGTCCATGAAGATGCAGTCGGCCAACTCCTGGCGAATTCTACAGGACAAGCAAACTGATTTCTTTTTTTTTTTAAATTTTTTAAAAATGTTTTATTTATTTCTGAGAGAGAGAGAGAGAGACAGCATGAACAAGGAAGGGTCAGAGAGAGTGGGAAACACAGAATATGAAGCAGGCTCCAGGCTCTGAGCTGTCAGCACAGAGCCCGACGTGGGGCTCGAACCCATGAACTGAGATCATGACCTGAGCTGAAGTCGGATGCTTAACCGACTGAGACACCCAGGCACCCCCAAACTGATTTTTTAAAGAAATAAATGGCGCCCCTCTCTCCCAAAATAAAAAGATTAAGGAAGCAGAAGAGACATCAGCCAAAGACAATGTGTGAACATGTTTAGATTCTGATTTAAATGAACCAACAGTGAAACGACAATCCTGGAGGAAAAATGAGTATCAGTGGCATATTAGATGGTATTCCAGTATTAGCGCTGACTTTGGTAGGTGTGAAATGGGATTAGGGTTATGTCTTAGAGAAAAAAAGGCCTCTTATCTATAGAAACATATATTTATATATATTATCTACATGTATGTATGTATATGTCTATATATATATAGACAGAGGTATTTATGGGTAAAATGGAATGATGTCTAGGATTTATTTTTAAATACTCCAGAGGAAAAAAAAATAAGGAATAGATGACACAAGAACAGAAAAAGAGTGATAATTGTTGAAGCTGTGGGATGGTATGTGCGGGTTCGTCATAATATTATGTACCTGCTATCTATATGTTTAAAATTTTCATAATAGAAAGTGAAATTAAAAAAAAAAAACAATGGGCGCCTGGGTGGCTCAGTCAGTTAAGAGTCCGACTTCGACTCAGGTCATGATCTCAAGGTTTGTGTGTTTGAGCCCTGCGTTTGGCTCTGTGCTGAATGTTTGCTCAGAGCCTGGGGCCTGCTTCGGAGTCTGTGTTTGCTCTGTCTCTGCCCCTCCCCCACTCATGCTTTTCTCGCAAAAATAAATAAATGCAAAAAAAATTAAAAGAAAATGAATGGAGGGGCACCTGGGTGGCTCAGTCAGCTGAGCGTCTGACTCTTGATTTCGGCTCTGGTTGTGATCCCAGGGTCCTGGCATTGAGCCATGTGCTGGGCTCCATGCTTAGCATGGAGTCTGCTTAGAATTCTCGCTCTCGCTCTCGCTCTCGCTCTCGCTCTCGCTTCTCGCTCTCTCCCCTCCTCCCTCTGCCCTCACACACTTTGTCTTAAAAAAACGAAAAAAGGAATGGAAAGGAAATTTCAGCAACTAAAATACTATAAAGTACAACTTTCAGTTATTCACTGACTTGGACTTTCCTGCTATTGTCACAGAGACCACAGGCAGCAAGAGCAGTGGGCCAGTTAACTATCAGTGGAATGGATCCTCTCTCACATGTTTTTTTTGTTTGTTTACTTTTTTATTATTAAAATTTTTTTAACGTTTTACTTATTTCTCAGAGACAGAGACAGCATGAGCAGGGGAGGGTCCAAGAGAGAGAGGGAGACACAGAATCTGAAGCAGGCTCCAGGTTCTGAGCTAGCTGTCAGCACAGAGCCTGACGCGGGGCTCGAACCCACAAACCATGAGATCATGACCTGAGTCGAAGTTGGACGCTTAACCGACTGAGCCACCCAGGGGCCCCTGTTTTTTGTTTTTGGTTTTTTTTTTTTTAAAGTAAACTCTACCCCCAACATAGGGCTCGAGCTCAAGACCCTGAGATGAAGAGTTGCATGCTCTATGGCGTGAACCAGCCAGGCGCCCGGATCCCATCTCACATGTATCACCAACCAGTTGTGAGGCTCTGGAGGCCCGTACAACCTGTGCTTTTAAACCTGTGAAATAGAAATATACCCCCCACCATCTCTTCTCGTTATCTCATGAACTGGTGAAAATGGAATGGGCGGCAGGTATGGAATCCCTTCCGAGAAACGAAACGCATTTACAAAAGAAAGGGATGTTTTCCTTACCCAGCATGGACAGACGGTTGCCTTGTTGGAGCATGTTAACATTGGCATTGATCAAGAGTTACAGATGGACACTGTCATGAATCCACTTAGGAATTTTCAAAAAAATTAAGACTGTACTCTGGTCTCTGACAATTCATCGCTTCTAGGCTTCTTCGTATCTCGGGACCCATCATCGTGAACATCAGTTTCTGTCCCTTTGGAGACAGGTGAGATAAAGAGAAGAAATTTAAGATCCAGAGAATCAGAAACAAAGGTTTTAGAAGATAATGTTCTGCTAAGGCTGATGGGGGATGGGATAAGAGAAGGATGACACAATTAAGTTTAAAAAGAATATTCCATAGTTCTAATTCCTTATTCAGCTGGCCATTCATTTGTTCATTCATGCATCAAACATTGAATGGCACATACTGTGTCAGTGTGCCAGCAGGAAGGGATACACTTATAAAAAAGGCAGACAGAGGCGCCTGGCGGGCTCAGTTGGTGGAGCGTGTGAGTCTTGATCTTGGGGTCGTGAGTTCGAGCCCCACGTTGGCCCTGGAGCTTACTTTAAAAAACTAAATAAATAAGAATAAAAATAAATAAGGCAGACAGCCTCCACCTTCATGGAGTTAAAAGTATAATAGTGGAGGGGCACCTGGGTGGCTTGGTTGGTTAAGTGTCTGACTTGGGCTCGGGTCATGATCTCATGGTTCCTGGGTTTGAGCCCTGCATTGGGCTCTGTGCTGACAGCTCAGAGCCTGGAGCCTGCTTCAGATTCTATGTCTCTCTCTCTCTGCCCCTCCCCCACTCATGTTCTCAGTCTCTCAAAAAAATGAATAAACGTTAAAAAAAACTTTTTTCCAATCTAATGGTGGAGACAAATAAGTTCCCTGGCCAATATAATCTGACCTGCTAAGTGAAGGTGTACAGTGAGTATGGCTGCAACAGAAAGCCCAATGAGGCCCCCAACCTAGGCTCACGGAATCAAAGACTTCCCGGGAGAAGTACTTCCTGGGAGAAGGAAGTTGGTCTAAGAAGGAGGATGGCGATGTGGGATAAGTGTGCAAAGGCCTGGAGGGAAGACTAAGTGGAATGGTGGGCGATGAGGCTGAAGGCAGAAGGACCGAGTCAGCACTACTTAAAGGGCAGCTGACTTTATCTGAAGAGCAGGACGTGTTGTCAGCTGTCTGTCTACTGCTGCGTAACAAACCACGCCAAACCTTAGCAGCTTGAAACAATGGCACGCATTTATCTGCTCACGATTCTGAGATTTGGACAGAGCATGACGGGGATGGATTTTCTCCATTCCATGTGGTAAGGGCCAGGGCGGCTTAACTGGGACCGGAGGATCCAAGATCGCCAGAGCTGGAAAGTTCGCATGGCCTCAGTCACGTACCTGGTGCTCCAACATGTGGCGGCTGACGGGTCCTTTGCCTCCTTATTAGTCTCTTATCTGGTAATCTGGCCCAGACTTCTGTCCATGGCAGCTAACTCCCAAGAGAAGGAAAGCAGAAGCTGAGCCTTTAACCCCTGGGCTTAGAAATTCCAGAATACCATTTGTACCTCTTACCACATTCTTTTGGTAAAGGCAAGTCATGAGGCCCAGATTTGAGAGAAGAGGAAGTAGGGGTGCCTGGGTGGCTCACTTAAGCATCTGGCTTTTTTTTTTTTTTTTTAAGTGTTTATTTACTTCTGAGAGAGAGCATAAGCAGGAGAGGGGAAGAGAGAGGGAGACGCAGAACCCAAAGTAGGCTCCAAGCTCTGAGCTGTCAGCACAGAGCCCAATGCGGGGCTCAATCAAACTCACAAACTGTGAGATCATGACCTGAGCTGACATCGGATGCCTACCCGACTGAGCCATCCAGGGGCCCTCTGATTTTGGCTCAGGTCATGATCTCACTTGAGATCGAGTCCCACATCGGACTCTATGCTGACAGCACAGAGCCTGCTTGGGATTCTCTCTCTCCCTCCCTCTCTGCCCCTTCCCCGCTCACACTCTCTCTCAAAACAAACAAACAAACATTTAAAAAAAGGAGAGAGAAGGGGAAGTGGAACCCACCCGTCCAGGGGAAGCGTGTATACATGAGAAGGGGAGTAAGTACCAGTGGCCACCCCTGTGGACAGTCCACCACAGGGCCCCAACCACATTTGCCTGGTGGGAAGAACGTCTCTGTTCACTGTAGAGAATGGACTGTAGCTAGGCAGGGATGAGGGCGAGAAGGCCAATTTTGGGGGTATCTCGGAGTAGGTGGGAACCACAGGTGGAGGCTAGTGGTGAAGAGTCAGAGAAGGGAATGGATTGGAAGGAGCTTTACAGTGGAATGAATCTGGGGCCAAGCAGAGAAGGGAGAGAGTAAGGCCAGGGCCCCTTCCTGACCTGAGAGCAGCTGCCCCTACTCCCGTCAGAACCCAGCCCAAGAAAGTCGGTCTTCACCCTAGATGAAGTTTATCTTTCAGCAACGCTCCCTTCCTGCGGATGAAGTCACTCAGGTAGGGTTATTTCGACTCCAAGAAATCAAAGATACATTTATTGTGTTTAAACAGGCCAGTCAGGGGTCCCCTGCATACTTGGGAGAGTCCAAGAGGCAGCGTGTTGGGGCGCCTGGGTGGCTCAGTCGGTTAAGCATCTGACTTTGGCTCAGGTCATCATCTCATGGTTCGTGGGTTCGAGCCCTGCATTGGGCTCTGTGCTGACAGCTAGGAGCCTGGAGCCTGCTTTGGATTCTGTGTCTGCTTCTCTCTCTGCCACTCTGCTGCTCATGCTCTGTCCCTTTCTCTCCTTCAAAAATAAACTTAAAAAAAATTTTTTTAAGAGGCAGCGTGGCTGGTAGCTTGAAAGAGTTTGTCGAGAGGCAGATAGGTCAGCTGGCCCCACTCCAACTGGCTCCAACTCTAACCCCCTCCCTCCCGTGGAGAGGAGCCAAGGTCAGTCAGGCTGTCCTGTCCTGCCTTGACCCCACACCTGGGGACTTTCTCCACTTCAGCGATCAGGAGAGTCGGGCTGATCTATTTTCTCTCTGACAGGTAGCATCAGCCGCCAGCTGGAGGAAGATTCTAAACTACTTGAGGTAAGTGCATGTCTGGGAGACTGTAGGGAGCTTCCTGCCCCCGGAGAGAGCAAGAGCCTGTGTCTGTGTTGAAAGCTTGTTCTTTAGGCTGCTGAGCCAGGATGGTCCGAGACGAGAGACCCGTGATTCTAGTCAGACAGGTCCGTCGGGAGGCCCTGCTTCTCCGAGTAAGGACTTCTCAGAAAAACAAAAGTCTAGCCAATCAAGTGAGGTTCCCAAGCCTCCCTTGAGCTGGGGCCAGAGATGACAAGACTGAAACAGCCTCTCTCGGTTCACCTCCTCACCTTGGCTCCTGGCACTTAAAATCTGGGACAACTCAGTTGTCTATTGATTCCTTAGACTCTTGGGTAGTTTTCGGTTTTAAAAATAGATGCACCTAGATCTTGTGCAAGATACAAAACTGGGCTCTCTTTTCGAGCACCGAAACTGAGTTTTAAGGGAAGAAGGAGCAACCATAGAAACCAAACAGAGCAGCTGAAGAGAGAAAACTTAACGTGTCCCAAAACTGAAATAGTCATCTTTTTCGCCACCCCCGTTTCCCCTCCAAAAACCGGTTTCCCCTTCCAACTTCCCTATTCCTCTCCCCAGTAACAGCCTTCTCTGAGCTGCCCAAGCTCAATGGAGCTGAGGTGGTCTTGTTCGTTTGTTTCTTATGTCTTTTTAAAAGTTTTTAAAAAAATTTATTTAAGTAATTTCTACACCCAACATGAAGCTCAAACTCAAGACCCTAAGATCAAGAGTCGCATGCTCTTCCAACGGAGCCAGTCAGACACTCCGGTTTGTTTTTTATCTTGACCATTCCCTGTCCCCTGTCCCACATACCCATTGTCACCAATTCTTTCTGGTCTACTCAAAGCTTTGTGACATGCCCACAGGTGTCCTCTCCACCAGGTCTAGCCTTTCACCCTTCACCATGGTAGAGTCCCGCCTTTCAATCCCTCATCAGAGTGCTTTCTACAAACACATCACCCTCCCTAATGCCTTCTAACTCTCTCTTTCTTTTTTAAGATTCTACTTTTGAGTAATCTCTCCACTCAATGTGAGGCTCAAACTCATACCCGCAAGGTCAAGAGTTGTATACTCTACTGACTGAGCCAGCCAGGCGCCCCCAAAGATTTCCTCTTTGTCCTAAACTTTCATTTATTTTTAAGTAGGCTCCATGCCCAACATGGGGGCTCGAACTTACGATGCTGAGATCAAGAGTCTCAGGCTCTACTGACTGAGCCAGCCAGCCGCCACCCCTTAACAGCTTCTAAGTAAGCCTTAAGCTTCCCTCCTGTCAGACCCTCATGACCTCGCTCCTGCCCTACTGACTGAGCCAGCCAGCCGCCACCCCTTAACAGCTTCTAAGTAAGCCTTAAGCTTCCCTCCTGTCAGACCCTCATGACCTCGCTCCTGCCCGTCTCCCCAAGACTCCCCTTGCTTAGGTCCCTTGTTCAAGTCCACCATTTTCCCTTGCCCAAAGGTAACCAGTCTGCTTGCAATTCCTACAGTGCCTCCTACCCTCTCTGTCCCTCTGCATCTCCCTCCCCCAACTTCTGCACCTGGCTAACTCCATTTCCTTCAACGTAGTGTGTCTAGTGTGTCTTCCTTTGGGACACCTTCCGCGATAGCCCAGGCTGGGCATCCCTAACTCTTCCATGGTAGTATTCAAGGCGCCGCCTTAGAATAGCCTGTCTGACGTCACTACACTACACCTTCAGGGAAGGGCCCTCCCTGTGTGTCAGAGTAGGCACCCCACAAATGGAGCTGAAGGTCTGAGCCTCCTGCAAGAGCCCCTTCTGAGTGTTTTTCTTTCCCTTCCCACCTCCAATTCCTTCTTGCACAAGGCTCTCCATCTCCTCTCCTCTCATTATCTGCCCTGCCCTGAACACAAAACAAAGCATGCACTTACGGGAAAAGTTCTAAGTGAAGCCGGCATCCACGGCTCTCCAGACGCGATGTATACTCCATTCTACACTCCAACCCCTCCTCCCTGCATGGGCACCTTTGTGGTGGCGTGGCTTTTACCCCAGGCTCCCGGAATACTTACAAATCTAGAGATCAGTGCCGCGGGCCGTCCAGTCCCTTTGTTCTAGCCCTGCTCTTTCCACATTATTCTGGGCCAGCCTAAGCCTCTTTTTGGTCTTTTTGGAAATTCCTGCTCAAGCCTCGCCCTTTCTAGGAAGCCTTCTGAACCCACATGATCCCTCCCTCTTTTCTGAATCCTATGGGATTTATTAATCTAATCTACATCTTTATTTGCACTTCACCGTAAGCCACCTTGTGCTGTTACTTAATTTTTCTTGAGGACGTGTTTTGTTCCAACCAGATCCTAAGAGCAAGGCTCGTTTCTTCTGTGACTTCTCAACTCCCTTCAATATCAATATCAGGTGCATTACAGGCCCTTCATATGTATCTCGTGAGTCACGGACAAATACAAAATCCCGGGACAGCAGGAGACACGTTCAGCTTTTATTTTCAACACACTGTCAAGAGTAGGGAAGGAAGTGGAAACGAGGTTACCGTCTTAACGGGGCTTGCATCCCGATGAGAGGAGCTAAGACCATCACAAATAAATTCCTGCTAACACAAGTGGTTTAAAAAATCTGTAGCTGTGGGGCACCTGGGTGGCTCAGTCGGTTAAGTGTCTGACTTCGGCTCAGCTCATGATCATGATCTCCGTGGGTTCGAGCCCCATGTCGGGCTCCGTGCTGACAGCTTGGAGCCTGGACCCGCCTTCGGGCTCTGTATCTCCTTTTCTCTCTGCCCCTTTCCCGCTCATGCTCTGTCTCTCGCTCCCTCCCCTTCTCGAAAATAAACATTAAAAAATTAAAAAACCACTATAGTTGGAAAGAGTTATTTATACAAAGATTTACTTAGTAATTTGGGAAATTAAAGTCTGGTTAGGAGCTGGCAGGGCCACAGTCCATTCATGTTCCCTTCTGTCTTCCACACTCCTCTCCCAACCCCCTCTGAACGAAAACGTCCACACCAGAGGTTCTCAAACCTGGGTGAGCATCAGGATTCCCTGGAGGGCGCGGTAGACCATGGATGGGAGCATTGCCCCAGGTCCCCATCTGGGGCTCTGGGATGGCGCCCCACAGTGTGCATTTCTAGCAGGTCTCAATCCAGCGGATTCTGATCCTGCCAGTCCAGGACACACTTGCAGAGAATCTGAACCAGTTTGGAACTGAACCACAGACACCGTTGAACATTCTCCATGGGGGTTCTTCCCCTCCCCCCGCCCCGTGTGCCTGTCTTGTCTTTTAGGCAGACTGCAATCTCCCACAGGGCAGGGGCTATTTTATCATTGTTTTCCTAACTTCCTCTGATCCTAGCCGGGTGTTATACATGGAGTGTAATTCAATACATCTGTGAAAGCCGGGGGAGAAAGAAAATAGGATCCTTCATGGCAGAAAATAAAGGCGAAAGAAAATATGTGCATTCTTTCAAATCTTGGCTAAAGGAAAGGAAGTAAACGGTCCCGGTATCATACTCGTACTTCTCAAATAAGAATTCTTCCCTCGGTAGGACCAAATTATCTTCAAGTGGAGAGAACCGTCCATGAGAACGACACCTCATGACTCAGCCCGTTCATTCATTCATCCCAACCCAGCAACAACTTGAATCGGTTTAAAGATGATTGAGCAGCGCCACGCAGGATTTATCATATTTGTGACAGGAAAAGCAGTCAGTTTGGCAGGGAACAAATGATATTACAGGGCCCAAAGGTGAGTAATTGGCCCTAATGACTTGGAAATAAATTTGAATTTGCATCGGGTAGGCTGTATAAATATGTCCTGTATAACTGAATGCCTGGTGCTTTTGGGGGGCAAGTGGGGTAGGAGGGGAGGGGGCGTCGGGAGGAGGGGGCTTTGTTGTGAGCTGCCCCCTCGCAGCTGGTGTTATTCCCACTTTCTTCTCCTCCCCAAGTTGAATGACAGTGGGTTAAAGCAGCTGCTGAAGCACAGACAATGAGCGGAGAAAGTGGCAATTCACAGCCTGTTAACGTTGGATTTTGGAAGTTGTGCCGCTCCCATGAGCCTCCGCTGCAGCTGGCTGGGAACCCGCAGGCGGGACAGGTTTGCCTCCGTGTCTGTACTGAGACTTCTGCTTTTGGCTATAAGACGGGCCAGAACTGGAAGTGTCCTGTGAGTCCTGGAAAGGTAACTTCGGTTGGAAAAAGACTCCTTTGTGGACCAGAGAGGCCCCGAGCATCATGGTGGCTACTGGTATCTTGGGATTTAGGTCATGCCTTTCACCCAAGTGTTCAGAGGAAGGGGCAAGAGGGAGGGCGGGCTTTGTTCGGCGGACGTTCGTGGGTTCTGTCCCTCTGAGAATATCTACTGAGGGCCTCTTCTGCCCTTCTGCATGGTTAGGAATGGAAGCTCTGGCTTCCTGGACCTTGCAGTCCCAAACGTCCTTCTCACCTAGGGTGACCAGGCTTCACGGTTGGTCCAGCACCGGGCGGTTTTCCAGGATGCGGGACTCTCAGTTTTCAATACCAGAAAAGTCTCAGGCGAAGCAAAAGGTGAACTCTTAACCCAGATCCCACATTTCCTGGTCATGGCGGTCATTTATGATCTTGGGCTCAAGTGCACATAAGTAATAGGACTCTGCTTGAGTCTGTAGAGGTGTGCTGTTGAAAATGGTAGCCATGAGTGGTAGCCACATATGGCTTTGAGCTCTGGAAATCAGGGTGTTGAGCGAAAAGTTAGAAACCAAGAGAGCTGGGGGTAAGAAGGAGAGGGAGGTATACTGTTTCCTAGCAACTCTATCGAAGAATAGTTTTTGTAGGAAGGAAGGTAAGGGGATTAAAAGTGTTTTGTTTTTGTTATTTTTACAAGATTTTATATATTTTTATTATCTCCCCCTTTTTTTGTTTTAATGTTTATTTACCATAGAGAGAGTGAGAGAGAGACAGTGTGAGGGGTGAGGGGAAGAGAGAGGGAGACACAGAATCCGCAGCAGGCTCCAGGCTCTGAGCTCTCTCAGCACAGAGCCAGACGCAGTGCTCAAACCCATGAACCACGTGATCATGACTTGAGCCAAAGTTGACGCTCAACCAACTGAGCCACCCAAGTGCCCCCATCGTACACATTTTTAGTGAATTAGGGCTAATATCAGGTTTTGAGGAAAGGAATGGCTATGTGTACCTTAGGACAGCAGATTAGAATGGTGGGTGAGGTACTTAGAGGTTGGCTATGAAGAAGTTATTGCAAAAGTCTATACTGAAATCATTTTCCAGAAGAATGCATTTTCAGTATTCAAATGAGAAGTTAGGAAAAGCTAGTTGTCTATGCAGAATCTGCTTACTGTAGTCAAAATTCCAGGAATATATCTGTATCACTTTTGAAGGATTATCTACAATGATACCTGTGTTTATTTTCTGCTTTTCCTTTCAGTTGATTTTTATACTTTCAGTATTTTTCTCCTTCATCCAAACTCATACTAGAGCATGTGATAACTTCATTTTATTGATAAGAAAGCTGAGATGTAAAAGATATTAAAAAATTTTTTTATGTTTATTTATTTTGAGAGAGACACACACACAGAGTACTAGCAGGGGAGGGGCAGAGAGAGAGGGAGACAGAATCTGAAGCAGGCTCCAGGCTTTGAGCTGTCAGCATAGAGCTCCATGCAGGGCTCGGACTCACCAACCGTGAGATCATGACCTGAGCTGAAGTCGGATGCTTAATGGACAGAGCCGCCCAGGTGCCCAAAAGGAATTTTTAATACGTTGTACCTTCCAGAAAAGAATAACTACAAAGAACAGTAAGTGTCTCTAAAGCAGGGCTCACCTAAAAGAAATCTCTGGCATTCATTTACCTTCTCTTGCTGGGGCTCCTAAAAATCCCCACTTCTCTAAAGGCTGGTTTCCCCAGATGTTGGGCTGAGCTTTCCCAGGCAGAACCTGACACAGACTCCATATCGGGCTCAGACTACCTCCTGACCTAGAGTCTAGCCACGGTGCAGAGATTCTAGAATTGTTGATGTCAGTTTACACAGAACCAGTTGCTGTCAGATGTCAGTAAGCAATACATTTCTGGCCACTTTAGTGTGACTGGTCCCTAGGGAGCGATTGTGGTCCTGGGGACATTAGAAGCCAGGGATTTCTCTAGATGACTAAATGGGGCTTTTAGGAGATTCATCTTTTTTTCTTCTTAGTTTTTTTTAACATTTATTTTTGAGAGAGATAGAGAGAGACAGATCACAAGCAGCAGAAGAACAGAGAGAGGGAGATACAGAATTTGGAGCCAGCTCCAGGCTCTGAGCTGTCAGTACAGAGCCCGACGTGGGGCTCGAACCCATGGACCGCGAGATTATGACTTGAGTGGAAGTTGGATGCTTAACCGACTGAGCCACCCAGATGCTCCTAGGAAATCCATCTTTGAAAGGCCTGGGACACAGGAGACAGAGAACCGGGAGGGGGTGAAGCATCACATAGGCCAGTGTTTCTCCAGACTGCTCAGGACAAGATTTATAGCAGAAGAACTGCCTGGAGGGCTTGTTCAAAGGCAGACTCCTGAAGCCCACCCTCGACCTAATAAAGGAGAATTCTAGGCTAGTGGCCAGGAATCAGCATTTCAAACAAGTGCCCTAAAAATTCTTGCCTGCTCTAAAGTGTAAGAATCTTGCATACATATCAACACTCCCTCGTTTTGTTGCCTTAGACCTTGCTAGAAGTCTAGCTTGCTAATCTCTAATACTTAATTCATGCTAACATATTAATGATTAATAATGGTTTTAAAACTCTTTCATAGAACTTTCATTTAAAAATAGATTCCCAGATCTCAGAGTGCCTTATCCCAAAGGGATACATTTTCTTTTCAAGAATGATATTCTAATGGTAGAACTCTAACTATGTAGGCCAATTAACTACCTGAAAAGGGCAGCAAATGATCTGTGGTCAACCTTGACCGCAGATTTGAGAAAGGGGATATTTTATTAAGTGCCTCCCTTCACCTAGACAATAATTTGAGCTGTGGGTAAATAAGAGTTACTTCTGGGGCCATACACGGTGGGCTTTTAAAATTATTGTCAACTATTGTAAAAAATTAAATAGTGCTTAAATAATACTCTATCACAGCATATGCCCATCTATTAATCCAGCAAAATCAGATACTTTGGCGGCTTCTTTATTTAAAAATTGGTAGGAAAAGAACAGTTGTAGGCAGAGAATGTAATTCTAATTTAAAGAAAAAATTTTTTTAATGTTTTATTTATTTCTAGGAGAGAGAGAGAGACAGAGAGAGACAGCGTGAGCAGGAGAGGGTCAGAGAGAGAGGGAGTCACAGACTGAAACAGGCTCCAGGCTCTGAGCTGGCAGTCAGCACAGAGCCCGACGCGGGGCTCGAACCCACGAACCGCAAGATCATGACCTGAGCGAAAGTCGGACGCTTAACCGACTAAGCCACCCAAGCACCCCTGTAATTCTATATTTTTGAAACTCTTCCTTTCTGTTCGTTAGCAGGAAAAAAATGCCTCAAATAGCCAATGGCTGGTTGCTAGTTCTTGGGAAAAAAGCAGGAATATAGCAAGAAAGCTACAGAGGAACAAGGTAGTTTTCTTAAGTCCTTGGCCGGGATGGACATCTTGGACCCATCCTTGGGCCACAATACTGGAAAGTGGGAAGCTTCCTTTCTTACCTTTCCCCACCCCACTCTCCATCCCCATGCGCCCCAGAAAGACCATGGCTAAGAGACCACGGGCTGGGAGTATCACCTACAGAGGATCCTTATCTTACCTCATCTGGCAAACTCATGTCCCAGAGGAAGCCGATGCGAGAGTAGGTCCACACAACCTATCCCCTTACTACCAAAACAACCCAACTATTGGGCCCTTCTGTTATGTTAAAGTTAGTCAGCTTCATTTTCATATATCAAAGGTCTAGCTGGCAAGGCAGCTATATTTGCTAGGGCTGCCATAGCAAAGCACCAATGACAGAGCGCTTAAACAAAGACATGTATTTCTCCACAGTCCTGGAAGCTCAAAGTTCAGGATGTGTCCGCTGAGGTAGTTTCTTCCGAAGCCTCTCTCCTTGGCTTGTAAGACGGCCACCTTCTCTCTGTGTCCTCACATGGTCTGCCTTCTTTGTGTGTTTTTGTCCAAATTTCCTCTTTTTATGAGGACACCATTAGTATTGGGGTTAGGGCTCACCCCAACGACCTCATTTTAATTACCTCTGTGAAGATCCTCCTTCCAGATACAAGCACACTCTGAGGTACTGAGGCTTAGGGCTTCAACACTTTAATTTTTCGTGAGGGGACGCCGTTCAGTCCCTAACAGCAGCCGACAACTACCATTTGTCAGATGAATATATCTATACTGGTCTTGAGTTTTAGACTCACCATATGTAAGCGTCTGGCATGTTAACCTGACTAAAGTGTTTCAGTAATTTTTCGTCGTGTCCTCTCTTCTTTGGACATTTCCTCAGACAAGCGCTGGCTGGAAAGCAAAATGGAGGTCTTTTAAATGCCACTTGTCACACGGTTTCACTTCCTCTGTAATTGCAAATGCTTGGTGGGAGCTGACCTATTTGAAGGAGCACTCCAGATGCAGAGAATTATTTGTGAACAAAATGATAATTGGCAGAGGGCCAAATTCCATTCATTTATTTAAGAAGCAGTTTCTCTACCATGGGGTAGATACTTTGCTAGGTAAGTGCTGGGGCCTTTGTAAGTGTAGGGAGTGTGATTCTGATCATCTCTGCCTGACACCCGGGAACATCTTGCACAGCTGCAGACATGGTGACATGGCTGAGAAAGGGCCAAAGCTTGGCTCTGTAGCAACTTCAGAAAGTCCAGCCTCCTTCCTCCCTGTGTCCCTGGTCTCCTACGTTGAGAGAACCCCAGGGGACCCAGGTCCTAGGTGGCCGGAGAGTAATGGGTTCCCTCTACCAACTGGGACCCGAGTCTTATTTTTACAACTATCGATCCACACAGAGTGTGCAAAGCTTAAGCTGTGACTAATGTTTGTCCCTTTCTGCCCTCCCTCTCTCCCTTCTTTCTCTTTCTCTCTCCTTCTCTCTCTCAGTTTCTGCTAAAGATGTCTTAGACTGTGAGTCTACGAACACTGCATTAACCATGTCCATAGTTCATGCACTAAGAATTTACTACTGTACTAAAAACTTATAACAACGTTAAGCATGTTGTATAAAA